CCCCCCCCCCCCCAACTGAAACAGCCTTGGGGCTCAGACGTAGATGATGAAGATGAGTGACCCAATATTAGGTATCGATCGATGACTCACAGCTAGCAAATCGATAGCAAATCGTGCATCGGTGAGCTGCCGTCTGGTGTCTTGTGTTGCAGGAAGTTAATTGCCATAATCTGTGATACACATGCGCGTAATTAACTTCTCGGGATTTAATAAAAACTAGTCCCTTAAACTGTCGAGGAAATAGAACTTTCAGCGTCAATGTCACACACACACACGCACACACCGCTGATCAAACGGAGCGTCACGAAACGCGAATAGCTCGTGTGCGTCTAGCTACCCACTCATTTTGCTTAGTGCACCTTTGAAGCCTCAAAGTGACGCTGCATCACGTGATCTGTCTCGCTCGTAAGCCCTGGCCTTTTTATTAGGACATTTTGAATAATTCACACGCACGCTCGCACTCTCGCTTCACATACCACGGCATTCCGAATTTCCAATCTGGGGTGGAAACGGCAAACTGGCAGTGAAATCCACGGACGAATTTTGTGGTCCATGAGCCTCCGATTCTGGAATGATATTTGCCGATAACGTGCACGACGCATGTTTAAATCTCAGTTTTCGTTAAATGTACTCGTGTGGATCGGTGTTTAATTTTGAATTATTCACAGACATTTAAATGCGGTCGCAGCTGGGATCTGCTTTTCAGAGGGTTATTCAGTCATCAAATTATCAGGAATCGAATATTCTGACCCATTGTCTTCTTATTTGTCCAGAAAGTTTTACTTGAGGCCTACCAAGAGTCTGCGTAACTGGTGAACCATCTATTGATTTTCTATTCAGTCAAGATTGGCACAATTTCCCAAATTAAAGCAAATTCGCAAATGGCATCTGTTTGTAGAGGCATCACGCCAAGAGGATGCTGATGCTACGTCATTTCATGCATTCCAAACGTACAATTATGCACCGTTTAACATCTACAAAGATTCTGCAACTGGTAGGTATTTCTATATGTCTACCTGGAATTTTGTAGGCAACGTGTTTAATTTGTGCATAAATGTCGATTGCAGATTACCCGAATCTACGTCCCACGCACAAGAGTACAACAACTATCTCGCGGGTGTTTTCGACAACGTCAACCACTCGAAGTCATGAGAACGTGACAAATGACCAGTCAGGTAGAAATTGCGGGGATTCTGAAGGCGAAATTAACTTTTTTGATTTGAAAAAAGAAAACAAAAAAGTTAACTAATTTGGTCTTAGTAAATAGCATTATTCTGCATGACCTCATCATCACTTCATGTCGTTGTTGTGTCAAATGCGTAGCAATCAGTCTAGTTTAAACAAATTTGGTGAACTCTTTTTCCGGATCAATTTAAGCAAAAAAGGTAGTTAAGATGAGATGACGATTTGGTTTATTAGTAAAGGTCATGTGTGTTTAAAAGTCTCAAATAATCGAATTACCTACGCTTATCTTAGTACCTGATTGGTCAGCGAATGGCCAATCAGTATTGGCTCCCCTGATTCGCTCAACCAATTATTATCGCTAGGGTAAACTTAGACGAGAGACAATTTAATAAAGCGCGCTCAAGCCTTCAAATCAATAAATATTTGTTAAAATCAGAGTAGATTGAACCGTCCTTCCGCATGACCAATGCAGGGAGAGCGATTTACTGAAGTAAAACCTTAGTTTCAACTACATATAAATGTTAGGTTTTACCAAATAATTTGTAGCATCAAACGAAAAATCGATATAGGCGAGGTAATGCATAGAGACATAAGTATTTATCAGTAGTAAAAAATAGACGTTTTGGGATCAAGTTAGCAAATGAGGTCATCAATGAGTGATTCGTATTCGAACACTTTAAAGTCAAATGGCTTGGATGACAGTTAAGCACTGTAAGTGAACAGTTTACATAGTGTGGTCTTGATTAAGATAGATAGATGAATATTTCGATTTGTTTTTTAGTGCAACGTAACGTATTTACACAATCTAGACGATTAGAAGCTTTAATTTTGAAAAGTCCTTCGCAGAATGACGAATTTTCATAGAAAATTGCTACCAATCAAATTTTTCCACTAACTGAAATAGTCGTCATAAAGGCAGCCAATTGACGCCGCTGGATTACGCCCGGATTGAGAGTTGGGCAGACAAAGCGCTAAACTAAATCCCATTTTCGGGATTATTAGCCTTTAATCACTGACAAAAGACATTAATCACTTGCTCCTCGCAATTACCTACCAAAGCCATCCGATTAAGCCCGGCCTTTTCAATTTCGAGGTGGCTTGATGCTTTAAAATTCAACCAATGTGAATGGGGCATTTTAGTGGGTGGCGCCTATTGGCCGCATCGACCACCAATCAACCAGCTGGATTGATTTTGTTATCCAGTAGGTTCAGCGCATGCAACGGACGCATAATTATTACCAAATAATTAATTTAAGGGCAGAAAACAGAAGCCTCTTATCAAGTTCAAAAGTCTTAAAAACAACTCATTTCAGCGTATGCTTTACTACAACAAAAATATTTTGATCAGCATTAGACATGGCCATTTTATTGCATGTTTTTTGCTAAAGCGCATGGTTTAGGTTGCCGTAATTAGCATTTTGAGATATCGAGACTGCTGTGAAATAATTATAGGGTTGGATTAAAACGTCCCGCTCAGCCCAAAATCTGGAAATTTTCCGCCAACTTTGGGCGTGAGCAATAATTAAAAGAGAAGACACTATAATAATTCCTAATGGCTCACAGGCAACACTTGATGTAAACATAACAATTCTAAAAGCACATTTAAAAATTAATGGTAGAACCCAATTTGGACATCCATGGACTAGATTTAAATTAAAAGGAGATACGTAAATGAATGGGAATGAATTGGTAAAATGTGAAACCACAAATATTTTTAGTGGCCTGACATTTTGTGAATGTCTTCAACGGTATATGAACAAAATATTC